CACTAACCGGGATCAAAGGGTCTCATGACTGGGCTCTGCGCACTGCCCACATGGAGGGCCTTTAGTCCCGGTTCTGGATTGAACCGGGACTAAAGGGGGAGGTATTAGTACCGACACTTTAGTCCCGGTTCCTGAACCGGGACTAAAGGCTCTTACGAACTGGGACTATAGGCCCTTTTTCTACCAGTGGCCCCTAAATCGCGCGTTGCCCTACAGTAGCTGCCGGTGGATTTGGGATGAGGTAGACAACGCTTGGAGAGTTAGCGATGCATGACATGGAGGACACACAAGAGCGATGTGTATCGGGAAGATACTTGGGAACTCGCCGCACTGCAATCTGAAGGCAGCGATCCCATGTGGAGGTGTCTGAACTAAAAGTTTCCACATCAAGGCCACAACTAGGAGCACGAATTACATCCAGATGATTGAACACAATGAGCAGTTCTTCATAGGGCAAGAGGACAAGTTGGAGCTTGTATTGGAGCTCTACAAACAGCTGCTTGGTTCTTAGAGATATTTCTCGGTTGCACATCCGTGCATGTGTTCCTCGGCGACCTCGAGGCTCCATTTTCCAAGGGAGGGGGGTCCTAGCTGCACTCAGCGCACGGTGTGATGGCACCCATTGGCAAAAGGTGCTTTCCTCACGCGCTTCACTCTACGCAGATGACTTTGTTTTCTTTCTCAAACCAGAGATCACTGGATAGCAGTCCATCATGGAGCTCCTCCAACTATTTTGTGCTGTTTTTTGACGGGAATAGCAGGAGCTTTGCCTTTGCATTATAGAAGAGAAGACATACAGAAACGGATGGACCAACGAGAGGAGGTCGCATCCCACATTACAACGTGAGATTTAGGAGACAGAAAAAATTACGGGCCTACAAAGGGAATCCCTCTAGTTGCCTCCCCAAAGCCTCACGGGGCTCTTTGCCAACTGGGGCAAGAGCATTGCCATTCCCATTAACGTATCGGCGACCATGATCCATGACATTGTCGAAGGATCTGGCTGTCCCGTAGCTGCGTTCCGATCACCTATCTTGGCATATGTCCCTATTGGACAACCGTCTTCGCTGGGAGGACCAGCAGCCGGCAATCGACAATCTCGCCAAGCGCCTTGGTGGCCGGGAAGCGGACATATTGCTCTGCCGAGCACGGTAGAGCTGGTGCGCACCATGCTATCTGCCATTCTCATCTTTCAGCTTATGGCAATCGACCCCCTGGTGTGGTTCTCGAAGAAGGTTGACATGCTGGTGTGAATTGAAGTGGTTGGGAGGGGGAAGAAAATCATGATCGGTATTGCCCGCCTTGAGAAAAGAGATGGAATTAAAAGACGTTGTTCATTTGTTGAGGAGACGGACGATCGCTCCTCTCGCGGGATGAATTAACTTGGGACATGTGTGTAAAGTGAGACCAGCTCGCGCACGATGGACCGAGCTTTGTAGTAATAATAGTTGGTTACATACTATACCAGTTTTCCAAAAAAATAATTGTTTTTTGTTAAGTGGAACAGATTAGATACTACCTTGAGCAGGAGTAGCACCCCCACTCTGACCCCCACCTCGGCGGCGTCAATCGAGCTCCTTTCCCTCTTTGCCTCCACTGTGGTCGTTGTGCTCCTCATCGAAGGCTCCTTGTCACTATGTTGTTGTCGTGTGGTGGCCAATGGTGAGGATGGGGAGGAGACGGTGGTGGTAGAGACCGGAAGGAAAGTGGACAAGGGGGCACGGTAGTCAGTGGGCGCGTGTCATTTAAAAATTATTGATGTGTTTTAAAACAAATGAACATGGCATTTTAAGAAAATGTTTATACAATGTTAAAAAATGTTGTAAAATTCAAAAAAATGTAGGTTACATTTAAAAAAATGCACGTGTTTCAAAAAATATGTTGGTGACATCTAAGAGAAAAATATTAATACAATGTAGAAAAATGTCCGCATAGTTTTATAAAATGCTTCATGCCATTACAAAAGTATATTTCAATGTGTGCTTGGAAAAAGATTAACACATATTAGAAAACAATTCACAGCATGTGCTTGAAAAAAAATGTTAATCATGTATTTAAATAAAATCTAGATTTTTTTAGCATAAATAAAATCTAGATGTGCTTTATCCAAACTGTTAAGTAAAAAATGATAAATCCGCATTGACCCCTTCACGGGCCAAGAGCCCATAGTCCTTTTCCCTCCTATTATTTTAACCCGCAGTGTCCCGAACCCAGAAATTCGATTCCGTCCGTCAAAAAGAAAACATCGCCGCCGCCGGCGCCGCCGCCGACGCCGGTACGTGCTCGTGCCTGTCCGCCTCCTCCGCCCCTCGCCGAGCCCCCTGCCCCCTTCTCCCCGCACGGCTCGCCAGGCGCACCGACCCGCCTCCAGTCCCCTCCCCTCCCCCGCCGCAGGCCGGAGCAGGCCGCCGCCTCCCATCTTCTCCGGCTGGTACGCAACCAGCCCGATCTTCTCCCTCGCAATCCGATGTCTCGATTCCAACCACACCACGATTGACGGGCAGTGGCGCCGTGAGTGTCTCGGATTCCCACCCTAGTTCTGTCCTTACACAAGATTTCGCCTCTGTGCGCTCTGTAGGAACAGTGATAATTGTTGATTGATGCGGAGATGATCTCGTCGTGCCCCATCTGCGGCCACCAAGTCCTGACGGCCGAGCTCGAACGGTAATGGCCGATTCTTGTGTCCTCCGGTTGGACGGACGGAGCTCCCCCTTTTCTTCAGTATACTATACATGATTCTGAACTTATAATTTTACTGCCTTGGCTGATGTTGTTGCTGGTCACTGTTCTAGGCACGCGAACAGCCACTTCGATGATGATGAGGTTCAGAGGGACATGGAGTTGGCGCAGCTAGCCATGGCCGCAGAATTGAGCACTAGTACTGTTGTGGTAAGATCTTGCTCGGACTCGTTTCTCTATCTTATTACTGTAAGAAAAAGTAGATGTAACCCATTGTTCATTACTAATTCAGCATTGCTCATATCATATGTGGCACATGTACTCGTTCTTATATCTTTTTCTTCCTATTGCTAGTCAATTTCATTGGATACATTGTACTGATAGGTCTGAATTTTGCTTCATAGAGGACTGTAGGGCTTTTTACCTTTTCCATGTTTTCTTGTGGAAAATATACCCACAGACAGTTTTATTTGCAGGATGTACCTCAACATAGCAAGCGGCCGTTCCCTAATGACGATTCTCTTGCTCAAGGGGCCTCATCAAGCATCATCAGAGGCCCATCTCCTTATGAAAATGTACTGTATGAACAAATTACTTGCTTGGTCGGAGCACAGGTTCGAAGCGAAATTCAACGAATTGAAGCTGGCGTTATGAACTTGTTGAGGAGCTGCCTTGAATCGGAAGGCGGCTCATCAACAAGTATAATATCAGGCCATGTTGACCATCATCAGAGTCTTTCATCAGAAGACAAGGGATGGGGATGTGGGTGGAGAAATATCCAGATGATGAGCTCTCATTTGTTGAGGCAAAGACCAGAGACGAGGGAGGTTCTGTTTGGCGGCTGTGGATTTATTCCTGACATCCCTTCACTTCAGAGATGGCTTGAGATTGCTTGGGATAAAGGTTTTGATGCTGTTGGTGCAAGTCATTTCGATAGCAAAATTTATGGTGTCAAGAAGTGGATAGGGACATCAGAATGTGTTACCCTCTTGCGCTCTTTTGGTGTGCGTGCAAGGATTGTAGATTTTGATAGCACAGAATCATCGAGTCTGCATGGTAAGAGCGGGAAACGAGTATGTGGGCCCATGGATAAGTATTTGATCAAGACTAGTCCTCCTCCAAGATCATCGACTTGTGAACTTAGTCAAGAGGATGCTGAAAACATGAGAGGCCAGCAGGTCCTTGTCGACTGGGTATGGAACTACTTTTCAAGCAAGCGTGCTGATATGTTGCACAATTCAAAGAATGTCATCATCAGCGATAAAACGTAAGAGAATCTGTATCTTTTGTTTATGGAATGTCCTATCCCACCATCTGTATGCCTGCAGCTTTGAGACAGCATGCTAAGTTGTTAAATGCGAAGATTGTTTTAAACTGACTAACTAGGTGCCCTTCACAGCCCATTGTATTTCCAACATCAAGGTCATTCGAGGACTATAGTTGGGATTCAAAAGCAAAAGGGTAATCGTGGATCTCAAGACCGATATAACCTTTTGGTATTAGACCCTCGCCATGTAAGTATTGATTATTATTTCTTATATGAGTGTATCCTATATTCCTATTATTAGTTCTGTTATTTTGAAATTCACATCCAGTTGGAAGTTTTGGCAGTTATTTTACTAGTTGAATTTTTTTCCAAGTAATGTAGCTTAAAGGTTCCTTTATGTGTGTATATAGGCATTCTGGTGCCCGGTTTTCTGTTCTGCAACTGTAAATATTTTTTTCTGCACATTTGTTCAACATAATTTATGCTGTTCGAGATGATGACTGTTGAGATTGATCCTGAACCCTTTAACCTTTTTTTTTCTTCATAAAAACATAATTCATTTGTAGTATTTTTACTCCGTAAAAGTAATATTACATCTCTCTCTGTGAAATACAGAAGTATAATATATTTTTTCTTTAATTCTTACAGAGAACAGCTGATTTAGAGAGGTCTCTTACAACCAAAAAAGGATGGCAGAGGCTATTGAAAAGAGGTGTTCACACCCTCAGGAAACCACAATATCAGGTACGTCAATAGCTGGTGAAATATGAATCTCAGAAGGGTGACAACGTTTAATGCATTTTTATATCCCGCCCTCTTACGCCTTTTGTTTTTCAGTTGTGCTATGTGGATCCTGGAATTGCTAGTTCAGAAGAAACAGAGCAGCTCAAGACTATTGACAGTATCCTGATCAGGTTCTAGAACGCTCGTATGCGCAACGGGTAATCATCACGTCTGTCTTCTTTCACATGCTTATATCTTTACGCTATATACAGTTTTGTAATCTGAATCCTTGCTGATGTCGATCCACTCATCAAACAACAGAGTAGGTGGATCAGAATCGACGATCTACACGAAAAAAAGAGCTTTTGTCCATGTATTATGAATCTGCTGGTGATCTGTTGCATTGGTGTTCTGTCTCAAGGCGTTTTCTTGCCACTTCTGATGGCTCCGTGGCAACCTCCCTGGTGCTCAAAGGGATGCCCTAGCTCCCCTCTTGCTCCGGATTGTTCAGCTGGCCGTCGATCAAGTTGTTCTTCGATGTATATTACACAGGGTCCCTTGGCGCATCTACAAAGAAACTCTGCTTCAAAGTGGCTTGGCGCAGTTTGTGCAAAAAATTAGAGCGATGATTCGGCTAGCCCTATATATAGCTCCCATCACCTGCTGTATCTCCAACACAATTTGTTTGGGATGTAACAGTGACAGTCTCGTGTTGGTTTTATACGCATGTTTTTGCACATCCATTGGAATTTGTTGCGCCGCTATCCTCAGGGCTCTCGGGGTCTGTATTCATTGCATGAAGCGAGCTGCGGGATCTCACGGAGTGCAGTATTTTCTCAAATAATTTTCTCAACCCAAAAAATTGTTTGTTGGATTTTCATATTATTACATTTAAATACGACAAAATCTGTCCGATCCTTGTATGATGATAAACACGGTTCGTTGATTTTTTTTCTCGTTCTGAATCTGCATGCTCAATATGTGTGTTGTACACACATAGGATGGCAAATCGTCGTACGCACAGCACATTCAGTTTATTAGTTACTGCATTTTATACATTGTTTTTTTAGAGCAGTTTATACTTTTCTTTTTATGCAGTTTGGACTTTGATGGGCATTAACTGCAAGGCCAGGCCTAGAAATACGAGGGGTAGGGCGCATCCTACTTGAGGCTACTCGAGCGGTTTTCTTCGGGATCTTTTTTCTTCTCTGTTTTTCTTTCATTCTTTTTTGCATTTCGTTTCTTTGTTTTTTTACTTTCTTTTTATTATTTTTTATTTTGTTCCAATTTTCGGTTTTCTTTCTTCTATTGGTTATTATTCTACTCTCTTCATTCATAAATATAAGTTTTTTTTAGATATTTCAGTAAAAGACTACATACGGAACAAAATGAGTGAATCTACACTGTAAAATATGTCTATATACATTCGTATATAGTCCATAGTGGAATGTCTAAAAATATTTATATTTAGGAAGGCAGGGAGTACATTTTTTGTATATGTTAACAGCATTGTTTACACGTTAACATTTTTCCAATACAAATGATATATTTTTGTAATACATTGTCAGTTTTAATATTTTTCAAACACAAGATTAACATTTACCGAATATATAGTTAACATTTTCCTCTAAATTTTAAACATTTTTTAATACACGGCCAACATTTTACGGATTCATTTTTAGTATTTTTTAAAAGCTTGATTAATAGTTTTCAATAAAAATAATAATATGTTTTGAATACATCGACAACATTTTTTCTACACATTTAACATTTTCCAAACGCTTAATTAATATTTTTCAAATAATTCTTCAACATTTTATTTCAAATAGTTGATTAAAGTTATTTATACACATGATTAAAATTTTTTCACCATTTATTAAATACATGGTCAACATTTTTTCTATACACATTTAAAATTTCCCAAATGCTTGATTAACATTTTACAAATAGTTGTTCAACATTTTTCCACATGCTTGAATAATTTTTTTGAAAATACTTGTTCTATATTTTTTTTGTCAAATGCTTGATTAGCATTTTTACGTACATGATCTAATTTTTTTCATCATTTATTTAATACATGGTCAACATTTTCTCTATACACATCTAACATTTCCTGAATGCTTGATTAATATTTCCAAGTACTTGTTCAATATTTTTTTCAAAATGGTAGATTAACATTTTTATATACATGATAAAACAATCATCATTTTTTAATACTTGATCATAAAATTTTGTATACACGTTCAACATTTTCCGAATGCTTGTTCAACATTTTTTTGCGGAAATTGTTCAACATTTTTTAATACTTATGAAACATTTTCAAATACTTGTTCAACATTTTTCGAATACTCGTTCAACATTTTTCGAATACTTGTTCAACATTTTATTTTTAAAATATTGTTTGGAGTGTTTTTATTATATATATATATGTATATACATAATGTTTTATAAAGTATAAACAAGAGTACAAAAATATAGCAAGAAACTAAAGCCGAAAACAGAAAAAAAAACCGCAGAAAAACGAGCATGTGGCCTGCCGCGCGCGTGGGTTGGCCCGGGTCGGTCGCCCCTTCAGCGAGTCCGAGTATCGCCCCCGAGCTCGGCCAGCCCATGAGTGCGGGAGGCCACAGCCTCTTTTTTCCCAGTTTTTTTTTACTTTTTCTGTTTTCTTTTTTATTTTCTTTTGTACTTTTGTTTATACTTAAAAATATAATATATATATATATATATTACAAAAAAACACTCTTCATAAAACATTTTATAATTGTTGAATAAGTATTTAAAAATATTAAACAAGTATATCAATAATGTTGAATAAGTATTTGAAAAATATTGAACTAGTATATGAAAAAATGTTGATCATGTATATAGAAAATGTTAATCAGGTACTTGAAAGAAAAAGAAAAAAACCTGCCTCGCTCTATCCCCTTTCCCAAACCCCACGGAGACCCAACTCCAGCCAAAACAAGGGGCGATACGCCGGCGGTATTCAAAGTGCTCAACGACGACGATCTCCTCACCGAGATCCTCCTCCGTGTCGGCTTCCCCACCATGCTTGTTCGCGCCGCTGCCGTCTGCAGGCGCTTTCTCCACCACAAGTCGCGTTGATCCGAGCACCACGAGGACGAGAGCGGATTCACAACGAGAGTGCTCAGCCTGCTGTGCCCCGAGAGAGGCATGGTCGCCATGGCACCACGCCCACAACGACAGGACAACAATTACTACGCTTACTGGGCAATCCTCTCCAGAGAGGAAGAAGAAGGCGCCGGCGGCTTGTCTTGTATGTGTTGATAGAGTTAACCCCCGAGACAAGATACACGGTGCAGGTGTTTGTGTTGCAACATGGTGTCTGGTGCTGCGCGCATAGCTTGGCAGTAGACCAGCTCCCTCCTCTGCTGCACGAACCGAAGTCTGTGCTCAACGACAATAAAATATATTCCCTTCTTTTCAAGATATAAGGCGTGTTTGAATTTGCACGGTCTTTGATGCATGACTTTAACCACTTATATATATCAAAGTATATATATTGAACATGTATAAATGACATCATCATATTTGTCTTGTAAAACAACGTTATTTCATATGTCTGTATATTAATTTTATAGACGTACAATATGTGAAAATCGTAGTTAAAGTTATGCAACGAAGACCAAAAAGATCAAACAACACCTTATATTTTGGGGAGGAGGGAGTATATCACAGCTGCCCAGCGCGAACTTGCCCTGGCTGAAAAAGGAAGATTCCACAGTATCAGCTTTGTTGAGGTATGTAGCTCTGAAGGATAGCTATATCTATTCCAAGGACTTGTTGTGCAGATCTAGAGATCATGCTCGCACTCGTTTCTCTATGTTACTTCATGAAAAGAAGATGCAACCCGTTGTCCATTACTGATTCAGGACTGATCATATAATATGTGGCACATGCACTTGGTTTTACCAGTGAAAAGTTGCTCTTATAGGTCTAAATTTGGCTTCATAGAGGACTGTAGGGCTTCTTATTTGCAGGATGTACCTGAACATAGCAAGCAATCACACGACCGGTATAACCTTTTGCTTTTAGACCCTGGCCATGTAAGTATTGATTACTACTCCTTCTGTTTCAAAATAAGTGTCTTTGATTTAATACAACTTTGTAAGTGTATCCTACTGTAATTTCAACTTGTTAATTCCGTAAATTTGAAGTTCGCATCCTGTTGGAAGTTTTGGCAGTTGTTTTAACGGTTTAATTTTTCTTCTTCAAGTTATGTAGCTTAAAGGTTACTTTATGTGTATCTATGTATTCTTGTTGCCCAGTTTTATGTTTTGTTGCTGCAAATATCTTTTTCTGCACATTTGTTCTATATAATTTGTGTTGTTCAGCATGATGACCGATGAAATGACCCTGTGTTAACTTCATTGGTCTTTGCTTCATAAAAGCATAATGGTTTGGATTATTTTCACTCCACAAAAAATAATATTGCATCTCTCTATCTATAAAATAGAGAAGTCTACTACTTTTTTTGTTTATTTCTTACGGAAAACAGCTTATTTAGAGAGGTCTCTTACAATCAAAAAAGGATGGCAGAGGCTGTTGAAAAGAGGTTTCCACGCCCTCAAGAAACCACAATACCAGGTATATCACATAACCGATTAAAACAAGAACTTCAGAAGGGTTACTGAGGGAGTCCTGGATTAGGGGGTCTCCGGACAGCCGGACTATCTTCATTGGGCCGGACTGTTAGACTATGAAGATACAAGATTGAAGACTTCGTCTCGTGTCCTTATGAGACTCTACTTGGCGTGGAAGGCAAGCTAGGCAATACGAATATGGATATCTCCTCCTTTGTAACCGACCTTGTGTAACTCTAACCCTCTCCGGTGTCTATATAAACCGAAGGGTTTTAGTCCGTAGGACAACAATCACAACATACAATCATACCATAGGCCAGCTTCTAGGGTTTAGCCTCTCTAATCTCGTGGTAGATCTACTCTTGTACTATCCATATCATCAATATTAATCAAGCATGACGTAGGGTTTTACCTCCATCAAGAGGGCTCGAACCTGGGTAAAACATCGTGTCCCCTGCCTCCTGTTACCATCCGGCCTAGATGCACAGTTCGAGACCCCCTACCCGAGATCTGCCGGTTTTGACACCGACATTGGTGCTTTCATTGAGAGTTCCTCTGTGTCGTCGCCGTTAGGCTTGATGGCTCCTACTA